AAACAATATGTATGATTTTGTGATGAAGTAACTTTCAGATTCCTGTTGCTCATCTAACTAAGCTCGCAGGTAGAAATTGGAAGTGCGGCTTTTCGGCGTGACACTCGCGGCAGAATGATCGTACGCGGCACGACGCGACGCGCGGTTCAATAAATGCGCGAGGCCATATTCATCTCGCGACGCGCGTAGCCAATAGAATTAATTTGCGAATTTATCCGCAACGCGAGGTTTCCTCGCATTCAATGAAAGTGAAATTAAGTTCGGTTCATCGGGCGGTTCACGAGGCTTGTTAAATGCCGCGCGTAACATTGTGCAAGGGGGGTTTCCTTACTTTGTGGTTTGCTTCGCCAATGGTACCCAATCATCAAAGTATTTTACATAAACAACAATAGAACAGCCAACGCAATCAAACGCAATCATTGATTCTCACCTTTATAGATTTATTATTCAGTTCCACGCAAGGTTTTTCCTGTCCCAACTGGGATTACCCGACATTCTTTGACATACTTAACGAGGCTCATTCACGTGAAGGGAAGGCCGAAATGCACGAGTGTTTTGTACCAGATATAGTAATAACACCGCGTCCTTCTCCGCCCCAGCCTACTCCTGCCTATAAGAAATTGATGGTCGCATTTGCAAGAGGCGAACGCGCGTGGCGATTTGTATTCCGAGAGCCCAGAAGCCCGGTGTCCCTTGATTTAGTGCTAATAAATATTCATTGCCGCACTTGAAACTGACCTCAGAGAATTGAACGGCATTGCCGCGTTATGCGTATGCGTGTACTCTCTTCGAAGATTATCCGCGATTATTTTCCTGTCCACCGGTTGATTTATTAGACGGCTTAAGGAATGTCACAATAAATAATTTGTTGGAATAATGGCCTTCCCTTCACGTGAATCAATGTATTCAATTCTTATGCATACAATCAATTACTAGTGTTTATATTACTAATTAAAATACGGATCTTATGCGTTTATAGAAAAAATAAATATGCACATGATATAAAGGATGTATAAGAATACATGAAATATTAAGAGCTGCATCCTTAAATTAGGGGTGACGGACTAATTCTTCTCTGTCAGGAGGCACAATTATCAGTCAGGCACTTATCTACAGGATTTATCGAAAGACATTTGTTGAATGCCTCAGGCTACTCGAACATTAATATTTCTTAGGTACTCGCTCGGACTCTCCTTCGTTAATGTATTGTAGACTCTGACTCTGGCGTACTGTTGTTCGACCAAGTGTCGAAGGGATGATTGAGATAAGCCCTTATCCCTGTGCCATTCAGTTTATAGGCTCTTAGCCAACAAGCATTTCTGGTAGGATGCACGATATAATGATTAGCCGAAAGTTTCGTTTATGTTGTGCGTTGTCAACTCTGACGTACTCCTTTCGCTGATTGTAAGTCATATACAAATTCGCAGTCTATTAATAATATTCTGATATACGATAAACACTACTTAATATACGTTATACTATTTTATAATCATTTTCCATTATATTTCAACCTGACCCAACCGTTAGAACACCGTTGGGAGATATTTATGTGCTATTGTGATCAGGGGGCAAGGTTAACCCTAGAAGAAATCGTTTGGAACGAAACGAGCTGTCGATAGCAGCTACCTGGGGTCATTATGCCCAATGTACCTCGTCTTCTCACCCTGATCTGCTTTCATCGATAAGATCCCTTTCTTGTCCTACGTCGATTACTCTTGGACAACCGTTCCCGGGACGCTTCGAATTTTTTAGAAAAACCTCGTGAAAGTTTGTGGAAAGAATGTTCGGAATTGTAAGAACCGTGGAAACTAATTCCATTGCTTGTTCTTAAGAGCACTCTTCGAGACGATAGTAAAGTACTGAAATCGTAAATCGTTTTAAGTATCCTTAGTTTTCAAATCTCTTCGGCATTAACTCGATATTAAATGTACGAGTCACGTGTTTGCAGGAATTGGAGAATTCTTAATGTTTTTATTAACACGATCTTTTATCTTATTACTAAATTGTTTTATTTATTTATTTATTTAACTTTAATATTACTTAAATATGTTTCATGTAAAGCAAGTATTAATTAGAAATTGAAATCAATAAATGCATAAGAAATATACTGTGTCTATTTTAAATACAGAATCCTAATTTCGGAGCTACCGTTCGAAGTATGACGTATAGCAGGTATATCACTCCATTAATCATTTCAATTACCGTGAGTAAACCGTTCAGAAAGGATCAATCGGGTAGCAATTTGTCAGGGTCGATTAAACGCCGCGATAAGCAAGCGTGTCCAGGATATCGCAAGGACGATCCTAAGAGATAGAAAGATCAAGGAATAGAACGATGGTCGAGGTCGATTTTGCCAGCGAGCACTCTGACGATACAACTACCTATCTGAAATCCAGACCGTGTCTGTGTGTACTGATCACAATTAAGATATGCGTGTTGGTATTCCCTCCTTCGTAAACGAATTCACTGGCCGTTTGTTAAACAGATCGGTTTTCTACACGCGTGAGAAACTTTTTCATATCCAAAAATTGAAATTAGCATGCTGTTCATTATTAAAAAGAACGAACAAGAGGAAATCAGATATTAAAAGTAAATGAATAATAATAATCCTTCTTTAAAATCCTTATTTAAAACAAAAGTCACGTAATTTTACCAAAACAAACGAAGAATTGCGAAACCGATTATATGAATTTATAAACCCATACGATCTGCATGAATACGATGCATGAACGAGTCCAACGTAAATCGTTTTCTCGGTTACATATATTATGTTAACTACACCACTTCATTGATTAAACTTCGCTACAGAGACACGCGAAGCGCATTTTTGCCGATACGTTCTGTAGTACTTCCTGAATTGTAAACGTGGCTTTCGATTCCAAGAAAGGTTACCTGCCTTTCGTATGTCGCGCACGCAGAGCATTGAAACCAGACTCGAATTATAAAAGTCAGACGGTACGGTTATTGAAACTGAAACCACACCTACTCGAAGGTTGTTCGTCGCCTTGAACTCGAAGAAAGAATCACTCTCAGTCTCGCTCTCTTTTTCGCTACTGTTCACATTGATATTTATGCGTTCCTCGTTGCTTACGCTTCACACAATAATTCACTCATATTTAACTAATTGAATGAAATTAAAATTATTTTCAAGAGGTTTGTAACATTTTTCAATTTCTTATAACTATTTCTTATCCTGGAATGATATTCATAATAGATCGATCCGTTTTTATATTCTGAATGCTCTACAATTGTTTATTCTGAAATAATATTTCTGATACGTGCTTTACTGCTTTAGCATTTTGGAAAATTTTTTTAGAAGTAGTGTGATCTTGAAAATTGATGCACCTATATAAACATCTTTAGCTTTTCCACTTTTATGCAGTTCAATGACATTGTGCTACTGTATTTCTGAAATGCTTCGAGAGAGTCCGAATCTCCGTGAAACCTCGAGCAACAAGACTATCGACGCAATACCAATCCCGATCCTTTCCAATTGAAATCGCAATCCATTCCACGTCCATTGCAATACTCATCCGGGTCCGCGTCCACGATCCACCATGAAAACCGTCCGACGCCGTTCTCCGCACGCTTAGCTCGATGGCTAGGCAACATGCGTACATATACACGTATAAAGATTGTATAATACACGGATGGTACGGATAAAAGCATCTCGATGATGGGAAACGGAGCGAGTTGAATGAGGAATCGAACCGATGATGTTTTTCAGGGAGGGCGAGGGTGGCGGCGGTGGCGGCCGTTCCGTGACCAGCGCTGGTGGGGGTGGAGGAGGAGGTGGAGGTCGACGGGCACCGAGTCTACGCTTGGTGAACGGAAGAGCGACAACGGGGGTCAGTTTGCACACAAGCAGCGCCGAATCCGTTCGTTCACCCCATCACCACCTCGGCCAGCAGCAGGGAGGCGGCGGTGGAGGAGGGGGAGGCAACAATAGTAATAACAACAACAATAACAACAACCATAACAACAACAACAACAATAACTGCCACGCCGGTAATAACCCCGCCGCGAACAATCATCCACGGCTTAACAAAGATGACAGCATCAAGATCAGCATCGAGAACACCAACACTTGCACGGACAGCCTCGTCACTGCTCTAGACGACGAGACATTGCTCATCACCGATTTCGTAGCCGACACAGGTCAGTTTATCATATTCTCTTACTTAGAAATGTTATAAATTATATTTTTTTACCAATTTACCATTTTTTAAATAATGCAATGAATAATATTTAATATATTGTTGTCATGGAAGAGCATCTACATATTTTTGTACCTGCAAACATTCTTTATATCTTCTGCAAATTTTCTATAAATGCATCAAATCCGTAGTCCAGAAATTATGTTTTATAATTGCATTAGCTTGGCATATATGAAATCTCATTTTGTTTCTAAAGTTACAATTATGGTTTATCTCATCATCCACTATTATGAATATTATATAAATTATTTGAATGAAATACATGGCATACAAGGTTTAAATCTGTTTGAAGAAACAGCATTTCATATGTACGTCAACCTAATGAAAATCAGAGGATATAGTTCGCGAAAATTAGATTTGTTGTGTTGATTAAGTATACAGGTTCTCCACTGGAAGTTTAATTGTACAGTTTGTACCACAGTTTACATCCAGAACGAAGCACAAGATTTTACATGAATATCTCAGTAATAAATATTAGTGATTGAATACAAATTAGCTTCGCTAATTACTTTATTACGAAGTTAATTATGCTTCCTCGTAATTGGCATATTCGTATTCTAAACGCTTTTCCAGTTGCCTTATCAATGATCGTTTGTTTATGTATTATGGTTGAAAAGTGATCTTTAAAAGAACGATGTCACTTCAAAAAAAAGAGTTGACGATAATTACACCTATACTTAAAACACCCACTCTCTTCCACTTAGTTGAGAGCAGAGGATACATAGGACTCATTGAATGAAACACAGAATTTCCCCCTCCCCCAGCCAACAAATTATTACATCTCCGACGCGGTAACAGTTTAATATTTTTTTGCCACACCTATGAGACAGTATTTCAAGGTTACGATGACGGATAAGTCGAAATAATTAATCGAGAGGATGTACTAATTACGATGGTTCAATTAAGTGACAAATGACCAAGTAATGTTAAAAATGTAAGAAAAACTCAATGTGGATAGTTCTTACTTAATCGTTCTGAATTGGACAATGAGCAATACATTAAATAATAGTGAATATTTGAATATTGGTCAAGGTATAAAGAAAATTGCTATAGATAACAACAGTAATAATGTGTAATAAAACGATTTTGACAATTAGATATTTTTATGTTCACAAAAAACAGCTTCGGTCAAATCAACTTGAAATACACGTAATTAGTATGTGGGTTCGCATTAAAATGATCATAAAAATGATCGTTGAACCAGTCATTTGTTAATACGAATGCGCGTAACAAGGCTATTACCACTCTAATTTGAAAGGTAAAACCACATGCTGGGGTAAACAGACTCAATTGTTATTGGTATGTAGTTTTAGTAGTCAGATAAAAAAAAGGTCGTATGAAATTTCCTTTTAACTCCACTTGTTAACAAATAATTGCTGATGAACGAAATAATTATTCGATTAGTCCTAAATTATTCGAGACAGAAAAAAATTGTATACGACTTTTCTTGCAGGTAATAGCAGTACCTACGACTTTTATTTGAAGCATTTTTCGAAATCTTGAGAAAAAAAAAATTTCCTGTTGTTACTAGCGAAAAATGTTTGAAACGAAAATTGTAGGTACCGTCGAGAGCTACAAGTTTTGTGGGAAATATTTTTTTTTACCGTTAATAGTTAACGAGTAATTTGCAATAAACTTCTTTATCGTTTTTTTCCAAATACTCGTAAACTATCGAAGCTGGCAAAAAATGTTTCCGAAAAAAGTTGTAGCTTTAGTTGTCAGGTACAAAAAACGTCCTATATATTTTCCCCGTATCTCCAACGGTTTAGGAGTACTTGAGGGAAAACGATTTTTTTTTTGCAAAACTTTGCTGTTTCGACGGTGGGAACGACCGGATTTTATTGGTACAAATAAAATGTCGATTAATCGTACGTAACTCGTTAAACACTGGAGTTAGAAGAAAAATTCATAAAATTTTTCTTGTAGAAACAGTCAGTGCTTACAATTTTTATTTAAAGCATTTTTCAAGAATTTGAAAAATGAAAAAGTAGGAGTATTTAAAAATGTACGTATAGTCGCTTTTGCTTTTTCCTAAGTGATTAATGCTATTTAAACTTCTGCTGTATCTTCTCTTCTATTTATTTTTTATCGTTCGGAAAAGATCAGCTTGTTCTTCGATCTTAATTATTTCTCTACTCTTTAATCGTTCGTCCGACTGCTTCGACTACATTAACAGTCGTCTCCTTTTTACATCCGTACAATTTTACCAGTTCTTTGGGCTCTTAGCTTTCGTACCGGATATTAATCGCCGTTTATTCGAAGCAGCGTTCCCGTCGATTCTCGCGATTGGAAACAATCCAGAAGGAAACGCTCGACGCTTGCTAGAAGTGTCGGCATATTTGCGGTAGCTTCGTTTCTGGTTACAGTTACAGACCGCGGTTCCCTTGTGGTTTAGCGAGATGAAAAGAAGAGGGATTCCACTCTGCAGTGTTTATTTCAAGCATCGTGTCAAAGCGAAAATTATAAACGAAATTTCGCTTCAGCAAAAATTCTTAAAAGCATTGTATTATATTAGAAATCGCAATTTTATCGAAAAAAATTATTTAAAAAATGTATTATTAATAGAACAAGTATTAATTGGAAGTAGTGAACAGTTATTAAGATTATAAAAGATTTAGAATTTTGCTTTGATGAACATCATCAACGCGACGACGTGATAATGATGGAATAATGAATGCAAAATCGTGAAGCGAGTATATTTATATAATTATCGAATATAGTGAATCATGCAGGCACGTTTTCTGTGCGCGGATTATTTGTTTCATAAGAGGCGATTAACATTACTGGTTCTCGTGGTTGGATATCATTAAGAGAATATTTCTCGCTTACACTTCAATAAATCGTCATTAAATCACGTTCGAACGTTTACGACGTAAATGATTTTTCGTCGTTATCAACTATCGCAAGCGCAACCTCGTACGTTTCCATTGTGAAAAAAAGAATTTTTTTTCTACAATGAATTCCAATATTTCGAGTTGTTTATTGTGAAAAATGTTCAATTGGTGCCAAGGAGTGCAAGGAGTCGCCCGGGGCGAACTAGAATGAAAAATTTTTTCATTCGATGAAATGAACGGTGCGCGTTACCGCGTATGAAGTCAATGAATTCAAATTAAATTACTGTACATTAATTTTCTCTCAGTTGTATTAAACGTTGTATAACAGTTCTATATATAATTAATTAACAATAATATATTTTAAAAAAATGATGAATTCTTCACAAATTTCTTGATTTTTTTTAATGAAACATAACTCAGGTAATTGAAATAATTATCGATTTTCATCGTGTAAAATAAACTGATGAAAAGTAAATTACAAAACATAAAATTACTATAATTTACTAATAGCGTGACGAGAATTAATAGCCTCTCGAGCGAGATCAACACTTTTGTGGGAGTATCAACGTCCCTGCAAGGAACATGAATCATTCACCTATCGCCTCGTTATCGCGCATTCGTACTCACGCCACGTAGGGAACAAACACACGCTCGTACAATTAAAGACCATTGAGGCTGGGTCTAATTAAACGTTACGCAGAAAAAGATGAAAAAACGCGTTGATTCGTGGTTAAGAAGCTCCGCTCGTATTTTCTCCGCCGATTCCCGCTCGGATGAGATAATTCGTGCGCTTCCCTTCTCTTCCGGGATTTTCAATTATCTATCACGGAGCCTCGGTCCTACAAAGCAAACCGGAAAAAGAACATTTCGCGACGGTAATGCCTGCACTCGGTTTCTCGGTTAAAGTCGCTCCATTTACGACTTCTGATTTCCCAGCAAATGTTTTCGCTGGTACCCTTTTCTCGATGCACGATACGTCGAAGATGGAAATTGCTCTATCTTTTGATCTGATCGTTTGAATATCGTACGAGGCAGGATACTTTCAACAATTGCGTTCGTACGACGAACGAATTCGAACTTCCTCTCTGTTATGTGCTGGTAACGTTTTTTAATAAAATCTACTGATAAAAAAAACGACATGAACGTAAAAATCTTTTAATTCATTATTACTGAATTTTGGGAATTTATTATATTTTGTATAATGAATATGCTACAAGAATTTTTGATACTTGAATCAATTAATAAAATTCCAAATCATAAAAGAAAAGGAGAGTTAAGTACCATAAATTGTCAAAGGCATGCAAATAATGTCACACCGTTATATGTATGTAGATAAGAGCTCGTAGTTGTACAAACAGTAGAACGTACATTCTTTTCTACTTAAAACTTTGACTAGAATATTCAACTTATAAATCATTCGTTCATTCCTTTGATAAAAAATTATCAAATTATTGTAAAACTTTAAGCTTTGTTATAATTTATAGAACGTCGATACAAATAATGTCAATTCATTTAAATAGAGTAGACAGAATATTATAAAGTAGCAATCATCATGTGAAACAATGTTAATAATAACAATACTAAATGTGAATCATTAATAATTGAATCTGTCAACATTTAATTAGTAATATCATCGGTAATATCTGATGAATATAGGTAGACGCAGGTTGTCAAATTTCCCACTTTGCTGGTAACTTGTAGAACACTCAATTAAAAACAGCCTCGCGCTCAGGCAAGAGCCTCCCCGTAGAATTGCGTCTAATTTCGTGAAGCGTGGCGGCATCCAGCCGTCTCTGAAGAATTGCACGCTCGGCTTCATCGAGCACACTCCACGCGACTAGCTACTCCTTCTACACGACTTTACGCTACGATTCTCGAAGCAGATTTTTCAACCTACACAGACGTAAACGCGATTCTCTCAAACAAAATTTGACATTTGTATTCGTTTGAATTTTGCTGAAGCTAATTTTAAACGAGTTCCATTTAATTATCGATTATAGTGTTGTAGCATTTCCTGATCTTTTCAGATTATTTTAAAGTATTTATTTTTGTCATATATGAACGGGATGTTTCATTTTAATTCTATGATCAGACAGTAAATGTTTAA